TCACTGGCAACAGCATGGATGGAACTGGAGAGCATTATGCTAAGTGAAATAAGCCAGTCCGAGAAAGATAAATATCACATGATCTCACTCATATGCGGGATATAATGATTAACATAGTTTGATGAACAAGAATAGATCCAGAGACAAATGCTAGGGGAGAGCGGGAGTTAGAGAGCAACCAAAGGACTTGTATGCATGCATAGGAGCATAACCAATGGACACAGACACTGGGGCGGTGGGGGCTTGCCCGGGATGGGAATGGCTGGGGGGCAGGGGCAGTCAATTGGGGAAAAAGGAGACATATGTAAAACTTCAGACAATATAAAAAGAAGAAGAAAAAGCCCAGCACTTCCCCAAACCAGTCCTCATGGCTCAGTCCGGTGCGAGGGACCAGAGTGCCGGAGGTTCAGAGGCAAGCGCCCATGCTTGCAGCACTGCGCGTGGGCTTGCGCGTGCTCCCTAGGTGGTTAGGACCAGCTAACACCGAGGTGTTGTTCGGAGAGTGTGGCTTTTTCTAACTTCTCTTTTCTGCTTTGTCGCAGCTGTGGCCCTGCCAGGCCCGCCTGGCCCTCCAGGACAGCCAGGGCTTCCCGGATCCAGAAACCTGGTCAGTATAGTGATCAGTGTGTATCCATCCTCTGCTTTAGACAGGTTTACTTAGCACTTCAGCTACAGTGTGTAGGGGCTGCGACACCTTTATGTTGGAATGAGGCCTCCATGACGGTCGCATTGGTGCAATCCCACAAACAGAGGGTATTTATTATCTCTTTAGATGACTTAGTAAGTAAACAGATGCTGAATACAAAATCATTGATGATTTCAGTTGTACCCTTTTATTCCTTAATTCACTAAACTAAGGAGAACCAATCATATGACGTCAAAAACAGAAGCACTAGAGTGTAAACAGTATCTCAGCAGGCCCCGTGCTGGTAACTCGGCCTCCTCTGTTCCGCCAAGGGGTGTCTCTTGTGCTGTCATTGCTCCGCAGGTCACCAGGGCAGGCGGAGTGCCCCGAGGCTCTGATGATGCACCAGCGGAGGGGCAGTACCTCCCAGGATGTCAGGAGTCCTACGGACACTCTGTGATCTTTGCGGGCTTTTAGTTGGGAAAGTGGGCTGCCAAGTGAAAGAACGGTCCAGCAGATAATGGAATTTTGGTATTTGCTGCCGTTGGGGGATTTCTAAGCCATTTTGAGGCACAGTTATTACTTCAAGGCTAAGTGAAAATTAATCTTTCATCATCCTGCTCAGTTGGAATGAAAACTAAAAGCTCTCTTGGCTGATATTTCTCTGAGACTTGGTGCTCTTCAATAGACTTTTGCAGCTTCTCTCTGTCTGCAATTGGCTAGGCCGAGGTGACGGCCTAACCCTTGGCAGCTTTCTAGACAGAGAAATGACAGAGCCTCGTTTCCTACCAGATATTTAATGTTGTAACTACCTGCGAGGCAAGAAAGAGTCAGACCTAAGTAGAACTGAAGTTCCAAATGAAACCACATTTGAAGCTCTGTGAGCAGCAGTGTGAGACAGCACATTTAACCCTGTCATCGCCACTGAGCTGCTCACAGAAATGGAAGTGGCCGAACTTCCCGACCGCTTTGCTGATACCGGCACCCAACAAAGGCCACTCTCCACAGTTTTTAAATGTCTTTATACTCGCAGCCTATTGTCTTCTTGTTTTAACATACCTATTACAGTTTAGAGTTGTGTTCCAAAGTAATTCATGTTTTTGTTTTGTCAAAAAGACTGTCCTTTGGTTATGAGGACGCTATGTATCACCCTATGGCACCGTAAGCCTTTTCACTGACAAAGCGGGGGGTGGCTTATATGGGACTTGACAAGGAGGCCAGCTCTCCGAGTGTGCCACGGCTCCCATGGTAACGGCAGTATTTGGAATTTTAAACGCCCTGGCAGGTGACAGCCCTGAGGAGCATGGACGACATGCTGCAGAATGCACATTTGGTGACAGAAGGGACATTCATCTACCTGAGGGACAGCACCGAGTTTTTCATTCGTGTCAGAGCTGGTTGGAAAAAATTACAGGTAATTCTTCAACTCTCTTGAATAAATTGCCTCCACATACCCCTGAAAAGTAATAATCTACTCCAGTGAATGTTATTTTTCCATTTTAAAAATAGGTGAACAGTTTGCAGTTGGCTCATTTTCAATGTACTGTTTTTTCTTAAAGCTGGGAGAACTGATCCCCATTCCTGCCGACAGCCCTCCACCCCCCGCGCTTTCCAGCAACAACGTGAGTAGTTTTCCTGCCTAGCATCTTGCTCAGCATTTACTGAGTCCCCCCTGGTACCCGGCACCAAGCTCTCCAAACTCTGGACAGCCAGCACTGCGTGGTTCGGTATCTGGTGGACGCCCAGGAATGACCAGGTGCCCACAGAACGTTCTCACTACAGAGTGGAGGGAGATCTGGACCCAGAGTCTGGAGATCTGTTTCCATGTCGTAGCTGAACCTCTGGTTGAGCGGCTTTCCCTCTTTCGGCCTCAGTTTATTCCTATATCATGGTTGGCATAAGCGATCTTAAAGAACCCTTTAATATTTGACACTCGTCGGCAACTTACATTGTCCATTTCTTGACCCTACAGCCACCTTCGAGACAGGTACTATCATCCCATTTTGCAGATGAGGAAACAGGCTCTCAAGAGGTGACTTGCTCTATTAAGGGAATGGGTCAGCTGTAAAACCTGGGCCTTCTGCTTCCCTGATTCAGTGCTCTTTCTAAAAGACTGAGAATATTCCCTTCCTTTCTGAGAATTATTACTTTTTCATTCCCAGTTAAGAGTGGCCCAAAGACCATGACAAACTAGAGTACCTTCTCCAGAAACTTTTCACTTGTATCTCAATGTACTCTGAAGAACAGATTGAATGAAATGAAAATAGTCAGAACTGTTTGTTTTCTTTCTTTTTTTTACATAATAGCTACATCCGCTTCGGCCTCCACTGACGTCTGTTTCAAGTGTCAATTATGGGAGGCCTGCAGTAAGTACATTTCATGCACTTACCCTGCAAATGCTGAATGTGTGTCTACTATGTGCTAGGTCCCATGCTGGGCACACAGCTCCTACTGTCAAGGTGCAAACAGACTAGCAAAGAGGCAAACAAAAAAATAGGTAATTACAGTACATTGTGCTAAGTCGTTTGGGTGAGGCAATCAAAGGATGCTGGGGGGTGTGAGGAAGGTCGAAGAAGTCTGCCTTCTTTAGAGGAGGTGACCTCTAAACTAAGATCTAAAAGGCAGTTGAGAGCAGGAGAAAGCCAGGTGGGCGGAAGAGAGTGGGAATTCCAGGCAGAGGGCATACGGAACAGCGGGAGGCAAGGGGGAGTGTGTGCATTTCTATAATTCTGAGTGTTTCAGTCTGACTGAAGGAGTAGAGTTCAAGAGATGTTCAGTATGCAAAGGGCACGGGCTAGTCATCAAGGGCCTGTAAGCCAAGCTTCTGACTTTGACCTTCTCCAGTGGACAATGAAAAGTATTAAGCAAGAAAAGGGTATTATAAGATTAGCATTTCAGAAATTACTTTGGGTGTAGTGTACAAATGGATTAGAGGGGACAAGATCAGGGGTCCTAACCAGTTAGGCAGCTACTATATTATCTGGACCAGCAGTCGCCAACCGGTGGTCCGCGGACCACTGGTGGTCCATGAGTTCCAAAAGGTTGGCAACAACTGATCTGGACTATGATCATAGCAGTGAACCTAGAAAAGTGGGCAGATTGGAAAGAAAAGGAAACGGGGCGCGGGGGGGGGCAAATGTGCTAATTGACTGGATAAGGGGAGGTGTGGACAATGGAGTTCAAGAATAATGTCCAGGTTTCCGCTTGGGTAACTGAGATTCCTTTCCAGAGTCATTTGCAGAAAGTAAAACTCTTGTCCCTGCTATTAGTCTGCACCACTATCTTTACAGACCAGCTTTTGCAAAAATCTTTCTTCCTAACTCCCTTCCACCCCCACCCCAACACACAGACATAGGTTATATCTTCAAAGCTTACACACAACCTTGGGTTGTCATGCACTGATCCTGGCCCTAGTTCAATGTGATCTTACAGCTGCAGAGCCCAACACTTTCTGACTCAGTTCAGAGTCTTGAGCGAGATGGTTTATATGGGTCATGTTGGGTCAATCGCTCACTCCCAGACAAATCAAAACTAGCCAAGATTGCATGGCCTAAGACCACTTTTTTAAACAAGAGTTATGAGGGCATTTTAGCAAAGAACAAGGCATGGGTTGGGCAGACACCAGAAGCATGTTCCCTATCATACTGTCTTTACCGTGGAGGAGTTCACCTGAGGCACCTCCAGGCCTGAGGCACCTGTTGGATATCTGAGTGGAGACTTCCAGGAGGGAATAGGACCTTAACATATGAAACACCACAGTGGGTCTGGTCTGGAGATTTAGACTTAGAGTCTTTAGCCAAGCCATGGCAATAATGATGGGGTGGTAGGATTCCCGAAGGAGAATCTCTACAGTGAGAAGAGATTGGACCATTAGGAGCCCTGGGTAAAGATTGAATAAGACGCCCTCGGGTGTGCCTTCCATTCTAAGAAGTCTGGGATCTCATGAGGAACATGAGATGGTTATGGGACTTGGAGTTTGCCTTTTACTCTTGAACAGTACTGTCTTCTCTAATTTTTTTTATTTTTTCGCAGCTGCACTTGGTTGCTCTGAACATGCCATTTTCTGGGGACGTTCGAGCTGATTTTCAGTGCTTCCAGCAGGCCAGGCATGCAGGACTGTTGTCCACCTACCGGGCATTCTTATCCTCCCATCTGCAAGATCTCTCCACAGTTGTGAGGAAAGTGGAGAGATACAGTCTCCCAATAGTAAACCTCAAGGTAAAAATAAATACTGTCCCTGTTGCCTCCTGGGCGCACTGGTCTCCACAGGGACTGGAGGCAGTTGCCACTTTCAGACATCGTCCCAAGTGTGCTGGTTCCAGGCCCAGCCTGTCCCTGATTGGCTGTGTGACTTTGGATCTTAGTTTTCTAGTATTTACAGTAGCCTTCCTGCCTGGGTGGTATGACTCATGGAGCAGACAGGAGGGAGGAATAATGACCTCTTTCACTTACATAGTTTTAAAATGTTTACAAAGTACTTTACATTCATTATCTTAATAGGTACTGCCAATAAAAATGGAAGTTATTCTTTTGTCTGGTGAGGAAACTGAGGCTCAGGAGAAAGACCTTTGCTCAAAGTCACTACAATTTAGAATTAGTTACCTTGACCCCCACATCTGGGGCTCTTGGTTCCACCTGAGATGCCTTCTGTAGGGCACTGGCTGAGTGGTATCAGAGAATAGCTGGTAATCACTGGTCACAGAGCAAATACCTTGTCCTGCACCAGGTTTGGTGTCTTCGGCGCATCTAAGCTGCCAAAGCCTGGAAGATATTTCTCTGCCCCCATTTGGAGGCAAGGCAGGGCCTCATAGGATCCTTCAGTGGTATAATTATACCATGGAAGTAGCCGACTCCTTTAAAGCTGCAGAGGTACAGCTCTGTTCCTGCTCACACACATCCTGGGTCCTGACCTCCCACTAGATCTCAAAGGTACTTTGAGACCCTCTGGTCCTTGGGACCCTAGTACTTCCATTTGGGACCAAATTATTTGTATGCTTGGAATAAAAATAACTGAAGGGAACAGGGCTCCTTTAGAAAAAGGAGCAAGCGATTTATCTCCATGATGTGGTTTGGCACAAATGTGAAGCTCAGTATATACATATAAAATATTTTAAAACAATAATAAAATAAAGACCTAAAACACACTTTTGATGGGATGGGACCTTGTATACATATCCTAAGAAAAATTGGTTCAAGAAATAAGATAGTAAAACTGAAAGGGTTCAGGAATGGATGATAAAATCAAACAACAGGTATTTCCTGAGTCCCCACTCTGTCTCTATGATTGAGGTTGACTTCAGCGTGAGGTGACATCTGGCCTTAAAGAATGAGCAAATAGTCCCGGCCGGTGTGGCTCAGTTGGTTGGGTGTTATCCCCTGCACTGAAAGGTTGCTAGTTTGATTTCTAGTCAGGGAATATGCCCGGGTTGTGGGCTTGATACCTGGTAGGGGCTGTGCAAGAGGCAGCCTATTGATGTCTCTCTCTCTCTCTCTCTCTTTCTCTCTCTCTCTCTCTCTCTCTCTCTCTCTTTCTCTGCATCCCTCCCTCCCTTCCACCATCCCTCCCTCTCGCTCTTCCTCTCTCCTTTTCTCTTGCTAAAAAAGTCAATAAACATATCCTCTGGTGAGGATAAAAGAAAGAAATGAATATTCTATAAACTCCACTGTATTTCTCACTTACACAACTATGAGGAGGAAATACCTAGGGAATTTACATGGCTTTTGTATTGGCAGAAGTAACTGAACAAGATAAATACGGTGATAATAAATAGTTTAATTATAAGAAAACAGGGAGAAAGTCAATTTCCCATGAAATATAACAAGTGAGCAAACACATTCTCTCTAGCAAAAAGAATTTTCTACAGTATACATAGTATCATGATTACAAATTATAACAATTGTAATTAGAAGTTAAATATCATGGAGTCTCTGCCCTTAGTAAGCAAATAAGTAAGAGGAAGTATAATTATATTTTAAAGAGTTGA